AATTTAAGAAAATTTAAGTACCCTATGTCAATATATCAAATCCTATAAAAGATTTCAAATTAAGGTATCCAGGCAGGGTCGTATCATTGTACCCTTGCAACCTTGGTATTGTGCAGTAAAAACATGGTATTCTGTACCAAGAGGCCTATATCTTGGACAGATAAAAATGCATTTCAATAAAATGTCCTCAGGAAATACTTCCACATCATTCTGCACCTAAAACTTGTTTTATGAAATGGGATAATTAAGGAATTCCAAACTTTAATAGTCCTAGACTGCATCCCTAAAACCTTGTTTGATTTTTCTCTTCAATACAATCTGTGCACTGTTCCTAGAAAGCCAAATACTGATTTTTAACAATATCACTTTAATTTCATCAGTTCATTTTCATATCCAAACTGTGAAGATAATCTTGTTAAATTTTTCCATAGTAAGGGAAGTGATCTTCCTATTCAAGTAGAGAGAATATGTTTGTTATGTTTATTGCTTTTAAATTGATTCTGGCAGAGAACTGTAAATAAGATAAAGCCAAGAAATGCCACTTTATTGGACTTTGTTTTATAATAAAATGTGGTGTTTTTCACTAAACATCTGGGACTTTGTCACTTCCTGTCCATTTGTCATGTCTCTTCCTTGTGTCCATGGCCAAAACAGTATTTCTTAGAAATATATAATCCCAATACAATTGTTATCAATGATATTTACAGACTCAATTAATATAGGGCTTGAGAAATTTTATGAAAGCTAGATGAGAGTTTTGAACCAAGGAAACTTGGATTATTTTTTATATTTGTACTATCTAAGAATAAAAGGTCAATACAAAAATTTAGTGAGCCACACTCATATGGTATAATTTAAAACAGCATTTACTTAGATTTAAAAATTTTAAGGAACCAAAAGACCAATCACAACAACAGTAAACATGAAACAGCATTAAAATTTGAGTGATTTTTACCATTATAAGGGAAACCTATCAATCCTTTGATTTGATCCAATCAGCTTTCTGATATGATCAAATTAAAGTTGTAAAAATATACATATCAAAAGCTAGTGTGTATATGTCTGTGTGAGTTTTGTGACTGTGATATTGGTAGTGATTGAAGAAATGAATGAATGTTTATTCTAGCTCATGATTATCTTTACTGAGGCATTAACTCTCAATAAATCAGATTCTCATTTGGTAGTCAGGGAAGAAAAATCTTGCAGCTACTAGCTTTTTGATCAGCTGTTCTTATTATTCAGGGTAAAGTCCAATTTGGCAGGTCTTTGGTTGCACTGCACATGTACTCTTTGCAGGAGGAAACTGTAAGAGTTTCTTTTCATGTTCCTGATATGTTTTTTAAATTGCTTGAAGCCTTCCTGGTTCCTGAACAGTCATCTGAGAATCACAGTCAAGGTCAGTAAGACTGAAATAAGAATTAAGAATATAGACTTATATATAATAAAACATCTGGGCAATGCAATGTCATGGGGATCATGAGAGTCTAACAATGATCAAGTAAGCAACATTAGAACGAACAGTAACATTAGTAATATTTCAGTGCTTGTTCGTGGTAAGTGCTGACCAATAAGAACATAAATGCTAGAATAGGGTTCTGGGGACCTCCTGCTGTGACAGCCAACACCCCACTCTTGTGCATCACAGTGGGTGCTGGAGAAGGTACCGGGGTGGAAGAAGTGAGGTGTTGCTGCTGGAATGGTGGTAGTGGCTCTTAACCAAACGATGCAGACAGATTTTAATGTTTTATCAATCTCCCTGCCTCTTTGAGAATGCAGACCTTGAGTATATTAGCACTGTCATTGGCACAAAGTGTGGCTTATGGCTGAGGATTCTCAAGAGATATATAAAGTCTTCCCATTTTCATTGGCATAGCATGGTAAAGTTAGATTTTCTTCATATGTTTTAAACAAAGCAGCATATATCAACAGACTGAATATTAAGTACGTGTGCAAATTTGGTCTTTTTTTACTGAGCCAGACATTAATTTTCAAAAGTGTAAAACAGTGTCTCTTCTTTCAAAAAGTACTTTTGCTCTTTAAAAAAAAATGTAATTTTTCATAAAAGTGTACTTTTTATATTATGACTTATTTTTATGTCTAAATGGACTAATAAATTATTTTAGAGAATATAAATGGATCTGGAGTCCAGTGAATTTTAGACAATATATTTGCAAAATAAAGCAATAAGAACTGTGCAACACCAGTGGAAAGGGGCTTTACCGCCCCTCTCCTGAGTATTCTACTCAGTTATAGTTGTCCCTTAAAGTATCACTTAAGAACTTTAAAACATTCCTGTTTTTTACTTTTGCAAAAACTTTGTACTAGCACTTATTTCAAAATTTCACTAATGTAAATCAATTATGCATGCAAAATTATCAGTATTAGATATTTATAAAGAAATGGAATTCACCAAACTGTGCTAACAATACTATGAAAGTGTCACCCCAAAGAAGACAACTGTAAATAATAAGTTAAAAGTTTAATTAGCTTTTCATTTTTCATGCTTATAATACCCCTAAAATGCTTGCAATCTGCTGGTTTTCTTTTCTTCATCAGTTGTGAGAAATACTCTCCACATTAGTAATTTTTACTTGACTTTCAAAGAGAGGAAAAGCAAACAATTGGGCAATTACCTCAAAGTTTAAAGCAACACAGTCCAATTTTTTAAACTGTATGGGAGACAATGATTGAAAAGTATACAATTGTTTTATTTACCAAAAAAAAAAGCAAAAATAAATATCCAAAAGAATGTCCTTATAACATTAGGAATCGTGTTTCAGAAATGAATCTAAGGAAAAAAAAGTACATCTCTAAAGGAAGGGGAGAAATAATATTCTCCCTTGAGCGTAGGACCCAGAGTCCTCACTTTGATTAGTGATTTTATTCTTATAGTCCGTGTGGTCACAGACTGCAAATAGAGAATGTAGGTAGTGCCCCTACGTGACCCACAGGAGCAAATGCAAACTATCTTGTAAGGTGTCATTGATCATAAGCAGAAAATCTCTTTCAAAAGTGCAAAAGTAGAGAAAAGCAATAATACACAAAATATGTGTCTTAGAGTCAGTAAAATATGAAATTAGAATTTACAAGTATATGAAAGCTACTTAAATATTGCTTATAGGATTCTTCATATTATGAAACTTTGTTAACCACACTAACATATTTTAAGTTACTCCAGTAAAGTATAATGTAAAAGAGGTTAGGAACAAAATTTAACAATTGATGGACAAAGTTATCCAACATTCTTGCCATATCTATTTCTGAGACCACAATCAAGGTGTTTGTCCCCAAACCAAAATATTTGACCAGTGCATACCCTTTAATTTCCTATTTTCTTACCTTTACTGTATCTACACATTTGCAATATATACTTTATTGGTCAAAAGTAAATTTACTATTGTCCCTTGATTTTCATAGCTCAACAGGAAAAAAATTAGATTTTACAACAAAGATGTGGAATATACCTTTAACACCTACATCTAACTTATAAGGTACTCTGAGTCATAAACTTGACTCCATGATGCAGTACATATGGTATCTGTCATGCACCAAGCCAAAAACCCTAGTTCTATTTACAGTACCAGATGGGTAGCTCTGCCCTTTTCTTATGTTCGTTGATTTGATTTCAAAGAAATGAAGACTCCGGTGAAATATCTTAGTGTAACTGCCTTCTATTGTGTGAAGATGATAGAACAGGATCTTGAGACAGGAACTGAAGTTCCAGTCACAAAAGCATACAGATTACAGTCAGCAGGGATTTCACCCAAGCAAATTGCAAAGGTCAAATGATCCTTCTAGATTGTGAGTGTTGGGTTTGGGATGGATGCGGTGAGAGACATCAGGAAAACACTGAATGAAGTCCATGCTAAAGACACACAGATCATTCCCTCACCTCTTTCTTAAAACACCATGTGAATTGTTTTTCTGAAGTTCAGAATGTGGGAACTTGTCTTTTTCTATTAGCTTCCAGTGCTCAGTGATAATTCTGATTTTCATGTTTTAATGCAATAAGTTAAAAATTATATAGTGTTTGAACATAACTATACACATTAAGCAGAGTTTTGAGACCTGCATGCAAATGCTCAAAACAGACAATCTCAGAAATTAAAAAATGGCTAAAGGTTTTGCAGAGAAGAATACCAGCCTCATTTCTTTTTTTACACCTGCTTTGTCAGTGTTGAAAGTACAATGCCTCTTAAATGATAAATGGATAAAGTAGGTGCTTTCAATAAAAATACTACATAAAGCACTCCTGTTGAAATAATGGCTTTGGCACAAAATGGCATTTATTCAAGTTATTCAAACAACTCCATTCCATTTTACAAAGAATGAAAACAGCTCATAGGAGCCCAGGCACTCTTTCCTCTTTTTTTAAGTAACCAAAGGGAATCCATTCCCAAATGATGTAGGATTCATAAGTTTTCCTGTGTGCCAATTTTATTAGGAGAATAAATGGACAGTTAATTTAATTGCATTTTCTTATTGTGAATGTCAGAATCCTGTATATATCAACTTTTCTTCCTCTTTCTTGACCTACAGAAAATGTCATACTGTAAGTTTATATATGTATAATATATAATATAGTATTATATGTATATATACACATATGTCTTAATTTTTGCTTGCCTTTTTCAAAACACAAACACTAAACTTTCAGTATTGATTTCACTGAAAATATTTGCTTAAGTAATAAAACCCACATTTTATAATTATTATATCATTATAGATCCATTCTCAGTGAATTCCTTTCAGGTTCAACTTTGGCTAAAGACAGAAATCTTACTGTAGTACAGAATGAGATTAGTTTTTTAAGCTCATATTCCTCATCATGTAATTTTGCCCTACACACATTCATGCAGGCCGTCTTATTTGAGCCTTTATTGTTACTCCATTTTCCATGGGCCATAATTTTTCTCATGGCCCTAAATGACTGCTTTGCCATCATTCTGAAAGGTGTCTGCTGCCAAATTTCTAAGCAAAAATTTTCAGTCAGGACTTACCTCTCCTTCCCTGGGCCAAGGCCTCCCATTTTGGGTATATTTGCTTTGATTTTGCCGTTTTTTTTGTCCTCCATCAGCAAATTTGCACAGTAATGGTTCACTGGGGGCTGCAGAGATAAGAAACCAATTCCACATTAGCAAATTCCCCTTAAAAACAAGAGATTCTTTGAGACACTGTAGTGCTTTGTACTGAACATCTTTTGAAGTAACATCTTGGTTTTGAAGAGGTATTTGGCCCCATTTTAGTCTCCACTTTGTTGGCTGCTGTTCTAACTGGGCTTCAAAAAAGTACTGGCAGATCATAAAAGAATATAATAAATATTGTTGAAAAAATAATCAGTTAAAGTAGAACTTTCTCAGAAGTGAAGAAGCAAGTATATTCCCTTCTAGTGAAGTTAGAAACATATTCAAAATTGTTAGTGTGTATGAACGAATACTTCTCCTTTAAGCCAACTGTGATTTTCACTGCAGAAATGACTCAATTTCAGAAAGTGATGTTGGGGTGCTTCTTTCTGAAAAGATATTTTCCTAACTAATTGTAACCAAATTAGCTTTGTTTTCTTATTAGTCATCTGTAATTTCAAAAAGGCTAGAAGTTGATCCTCTATCTAATGCTTTTAATTCCAGTTTCCCAGTACAATCTAGTCAGAATCCCAGGAAAACAATCATTAGAATATTAAGTGAACACACACAATAAAATGTGGTCAAGGATATTACTATAACTCATGATTCACAGAGATATTGTGGAGATTCTGCAGGACTTCAGTAAACTCATTTACTAGGAGTAAATGAAAACAACTACAGTATGTCAGAAATCGTCTTCCAAAAGTGACATTGCAAAATGATGATTTTTTTTAAATACCTAAGAAGGCAAAGTCATTTTTTAAGAATTGATGTTCCTTTCCCCTTATGTATCTGACTAGAAAAGAAAACCATTTGGCCTAACAAACTTGGTTATATATTAAGATAGCTAGAAGTGTTCATTTGTTTCTTTGTTTGAATAAATGAAATATCATTTTGTAAATTTACTGTCTGAACACCAATATGAATTTCACGTATCTGTTACCATCTCAGAAAATGTATGAAACCAAAAATTAGTTGGAGTCATGGCTCTGGTTCCTTAGCCCTAATTTTGTGGAACCAGCTCACTCTGACTATTGGTTGGAGCCCCAAATGAACTGCTTTGGCCAATGAGATGTCAGTAAATGAGCCTGAAACAGAAGGTTGAAATGGGTATAAGCGTCGGTACTGGATCTTCTGTGTGTCTATGAAAATATGTCCAAGCTAGTCTGCTGGAAGATGAGATGAAAATGGCACTGAGGCACACATAGCATTCCAGCCACGCCTGTAATAGACCATCCAATGGGCAGGAGCATGCAGACCGGTGAGTGAGAATCCAAGATCAGCAGTGGTGTGAAGAAACTACCTAACCTGCAGTTGCCCACAGAAACTTGCAGAGGATCAGGTACTATCAGTCAAGGCCATTTCACAAATATGTGAACTACAGAAAAGTTTGTTTCATATCACTACAATTTCACAACTAATATGAAAATTGTCTTAATAAATGATAGTTTCCTCAACATACTTTCTTCCATTCCTATAGTTAGGTAGTATTAATTCACCTGGATCAAATCATAATTTATTATGGAATTCTAATTGTCTTCAAAGCCAATAGTAAAAAAAGATTACAGGCAAACAGGTATCTACAGTAGATATCTACAAGCAGGTATGCTCAAATAGGTATCTACACACAAATACTTCAAAATCACCTGACTCTAAAGTAAAATTTTTCCAATCTTTTAGCTTACTCTTTCTTTTTGTTTTGTTTTGTTATTTTGAGATAGGGTCTCCCTATTTAGTTCAGACTGTTCTGGAACTCGCTGTGTAGCCCAGGCTGGTCTTGAACGCTCAGCGATCCTCTTGCCTCAGCCTCCCAAGTGCTGGGATTACAAGCATGCTCCACCATGCCCAGTGTACTTTTTTTTTTTTTTAATTGCAGAACTCTGCTTACCAGTTTTAGAGGAAATGACTCAGAGATAGCAGTTACCACTGACCAAGAAAAATGAAAAGCAAAATGTCATTTTTGCCCTATTCCAAGCACATAGCTCTCTACAGTAGTCCACTCTTATCTGCAGCTTCTCTTAATTAATTATAAATTTTGTGTCATTCTGATCAAGTCGATGAAATTTTGCACAATCCCACCCAGTGCTGCCAGGGACAAGAATCATCTTTTTGACCAGAATATCCAGGCTGTACATGTTGTCAGGCCGTTAGATTTAGTAGCCATCTTGGCTATCAAATCAACTGCTGCACTATGCAGTACTTGTGTTCAAGTAATTGGTATTTCACTGAAAAACAGTAGTGATGTGGCAATTCAGATATGCCGAAGAGTAGCCATTGTGTGTTTCTATTAAGTAAAAAGGTGAAAGTCCAGACTTACTATGGAAAGAATAAAAGTCATAGGCTGAAATCATAATATCTATGACACACGTTTCATCTCCTTGTGTTGGCACTGTGTAATCTCAGGTCATAAAAATAAAGGCAAGTACAGTATAGTATTTGAAGAGGGGGGAACCACATCCACTCTATATGGTTATCATTTTTTTCTCTTTTATTATTCATGTTGTTAATCTCTTACTGTGTTTAATTTCTAAAATAAACTTAATCATAGATATGTACGTACAGGACAAAATGCAGGGTTGTGTTCTATGGGTAATTTCAGATATCTACTGGGGATCTTGGAATATCATCTGGGGGTAAAGGCAACTACAGTATAGAGAACATACTTATTGCTGAATGAATGTAAGTGCTTTCCAGTTGTTGGCTCTGATGAGTCTCTGACTTCAGTGATTTTGATAAACTATAGAAATCACACAAGAGGGAGACTGCATTAAGGAATGCCCATATACAGTTGCTGCCTTGACAATGGAATTAATATAAATTCTTGACTCAGAGAAAAGTCAAAGTTTAAATGCAATCACTGGTCCCCAATATGCTATGAGTATGAATGTTTCCTGTGAGATTTCATATCTGTATGCTTATATAACGTGTAACCCAGCTCAACTCACCATGAAATTACCCAGTATTACCTGGCAAACTTTCATAGGTAGTGTTGTTTCTGTTTGCTACCTCACTCCACTGATTGTAACAATTGATTTTGGCACTAAAGGGTAGAAAATACTCATAATATGGATCAGGGTAAAATTTATGTATGTGTGTGCATGTGCAGTCTGTCAATGTGTGCGTGCATGCATATTGATACCAGCATTTTCCACTTACTTATAGAACATGCAAACTAATACATGGAATTGACCCGGGCCAAAGGACCCAGCCAAGATAGCAGCACCTGGGATTGTGAGAAATGCAGAATTCTGGGCCTCTAGATTTGACTCTATCAAAGACTGCATTCTAATGCTATCCCCGGGTGATTTGTGTGCAGACTAAAATTTGAGAAGCACTAGATTATGATTCTCTCTTTAATAGATGGAAGAATCTATCTGAGATGTTAAACATGAATTTCTCTGAATAATGAGATGATTTCAGTAGCACAGAAATACTGTACTGCTTAAAATTTCCTCATTGAAGGATTATAGTGCCAATTAATTTTGTTTAGTCTCTTTTAACACTGGTTAAAATAGAGACTAAATGAAGAAGAGGCCTTGTGGAAGGGAGATGCTATTATAAGCCACAGATTGCAATGTGCCGGAAGACAATATGGTCTGTCGTGCAAATAGAGAGTATTTAAAATATAAGTGCACAGCAATAAATGTTCAGAGTAATTATGAAGGAATAATTACCGTTTCTTTGTTTACTGAAGTATTTCTAGTCTTCTAAACTTTATGTTAAACACAAAATATACAATATATGATCAGATATAGATGATCTAAAGAATTACAAGTTTTCCAGTTACAAGCAAACAAGTAAGAATAAAGATATTGTTTAGTAAAATTGAGGTAAAGTTTTCTTTTGATTTTCACTAAAATTTAAAACACTTTTTGTTTGCTAAATCACTCAGAATGTCCCCTGACATTCCAGAAACCAGTAATTACTGGCAGTCCTTTATTAAACCTGTATGCTTTTTTAGAAAATATTCACAATTTCATACATTTGCCACATGAATTTGATATATTATAGATTTCTCATGCATGTGTTTGTGTTTATTGCTAGATATAAAACTAACTCCAAAATATATTACCGCGTGGTAATATTCAAGCAATTTTTACCATGAATATTACACAGAGTAATATGTTTTGGAGTTAGAAAACTAGCTGTGTATGGCAAAGGTACATTTATTTTTGGACTCAACCTCCTCTTTAGTATGTAACTATGTTTCATTTACTATTATGAGAGGTTTAACAATTTGGGTAGTTCTTAGCTGTGATAAAATTCTGGCCAGGAAACCAGATAGGTCCTGTCTGTGACAGGATCCTAAAATTTATCTAATGCACATTCTTTAATTTGTCAACAATGAAGATAAAAATAAAATTTAATAATCTGCCATTTTATTTGTGATATTTGGTGGCAAAATTACAACAAGCACTGTGTTCCCTGGATTTTCAAGCCAATATTTTTTCCAACTCCTTACTTTCAGTGTTCTTTACAATCAGAATTAAAATGAAATGAATTTTGGTTAGTTTTTCTGATGGACTTTATACCTTGAGATGGGGCTAAAAAAGACTGAACATTCTTTAAAATATGATTACAGTGATACTCTGGTTATGGGTTAGAATTCAAACTAAAATTTAAACAACAAATGAGATCTTGTCACATGACTTCTGTCACCCCTCTAATAAGTTTGCTTTAGTACAATAAATAAATTATATGAGTTATTTTTAGATGTATCAGACAGACAATTACCCCTATCATTTAGACCAAAATTAGCAAAGGACTATAAACTAACAAAGTGGAAATAAATAAAAAATTAATAGCATATTTCAAAGAAAGTATAACA